GGAGGGAGGACGGCGACGACGACGACGACGACGACGCAAGAGCGTGCGCGCCCGTTTTTGTTGAAAATCCGTGTTGCGAAACCTGTGTTTTTGTTTTTTTTTTTTTCTGGGACGCACGATTTTGAAATCCTTCCCAAACCGATGAGTTTTGAAGGACTTCGGCATACGCGCGCGACGACGCGCGCGTCTGCACTTCGTCCCATTTGTTGCAGAGGATTCTCGCGACGGCACACGCGCAAGGGCGTTCGACCGATTTCGGCATGCGCGCGCGACGCCCGTTTGGTAGCATGTTGTAAAAATCTAGAAAACCCTTTTCGGGTTTCCTCAAGATTTCGCAAGACCTCGCGCGTAAGCTTTTTTAGCACACCAGTGTTGCGAAACCATTTGTTGTATGTTTTTTTGATACTCGATTGCGAAATCCTTCCACCACGAGGGGTTTTTGAAGGATTTCGGCATGCGCGCGCGAAGACGCGCGCGTGTGCTCTTCGTTCCATTTGTTGCAAGGGATTCGCGAAAAAGTGCGATGTTAGAGCCAAAAAGGTCACCGCATACTGTTTTAAAACCCGGAAGCCTCAGGGGGGGAACCCGGTTGGCCTGGGACATTGCGATTTCATGTGTAGGATCGACATGTGGTCAGAATCATATGTGATTTACCCAGGTCGCGGGGGGAATGATAACGCCGGGAGGGGGTAGGGTTTGTATTTTTTGTAGAAAGTCTCGAAGCTGTCCTCTCCACTGCTCGTGCAAACATCCCACCCTCCCACCCGCAACTTGGTCGCAAGACCTCTTAAGCCAAGACCGTGGCGGTAGGTAGCATATAGCACTTGGCCACGACACCGACGCCGACGACGACAGCGACAACGACGACGACGGCGCCGCCGACACCGACGACGACGATACCGACGACGTTTCCAACGACCTTGGCGACGACAGTGGCCACGACGACGACGACACCGACGACGACGACGCCGACGACGATGGCAACGACGACGACGACGCCGACGACCACGACGCCGACGACGACGAAGACGACGACGACGAAGACGACGACGACGTCGCCAACGAAGACGACGACGAGAGAGGAGGGAGGACGACGACGGCGACAACCACGACAACGACGACAACGACGAGGGAGGAGGGAGGACGGCGACGACGCGAACGACGAAGAAGGAGGAAGGACGGCAACGCCGACGACGACGACGACGACGACGGAGGAAGGAAGTCGACGACGACGACAACGACGACGACGACGACGACGACGGCGACGAAATAGGTTGGATGACGACGAGACGCCGACGACGGACGACGACAACGAGGAGGAGGAAGGACGACCACGGCGACAACGACGACGGAAACGACCACGACGCCAACGAGGACGACGACGACGAACACGAGGAAAGACAGAGGACGATGTAGGCGACGACGACGACGACGCGGGAGGAGGGAGGACGGCGACTACGACGACGACGACGACGACGACGCAACAGCGTGCGCGCACGCTTTTGTTGAAAACCAGTGTTGCGAAACCTTGTGTTTTTGCATGTTTTTTGGACACACGATTTTGAAATCCTTCCCAAACCGATGAGTTTTGAAGGATTTCGGCATACGCGCGCGACGACGCGCGCGTCTGCACTTCGTCCCATTTGTTGCAGAGGATTCTCGCGACGGCACACGCGCAAGGGCGTTCGACAGATTTCGGCACGCGCGCGCGCGAAGCCCGTTTAATAGCATTTTGTGAAAATCTTGAAAACGCTATGGTTTCCTTAAGATTTCGCAAGAGCTCGCGCGGAAGTTTTTTCAGCAGATCCGTGTTGCGAAACCATGTGTTTTTGTATGTTATGTTTTTCACCAGGGAACCTCAGGGGGGGGATGCCGGCTGGCCTGGGACAGTGCGATCTCATATTTAGGATGGACACGTGGTCACAATCATATATGATCCACATACCTGAAAAGGGGTACCGATAACGCCGGGGGGGGATGAGTCTATTTTCCTTCATTGGAACGGAGAATCTAGATGGCGCAATACATATGGTGTAATCTAAGTGGTGCGCAACAGTTGTCGGATAAATGTTGTTGAGCACGTATGGTTGGATATATGTATGCGCGTGCTGACCAAGCTATGCTGTGCAAGCTATGTAGTGCAATCCACGTGCTGCAGTCTATGTCGTGCAACATGTGTGGTGGAGCTCGTGCGGTGCAATCTAGGTGGAGTGCAATTCGATGTGGTGCTTCCGGCGTGGTCCAACCTAACGTTGTGCAATAGATGGTGGGTGCGGTAGATGTTGTACAAGGTGCGTTGTGCAATCCAGGTGGAGCAATAGATGTGGTGCAGTCCAGGCGGTGTAACAGGTTGTGTGCGATATTGGTTGTGCAACCTATGTGATGCAATGCGTACATAGCAGACATGTGCATATACGTGTACATACATGTGTAAGTTTATATGTATATGTCTGCGTAACTAACTCATATAGTTTGAACAACATATATGGTGCAATGCATGGGGTGCCAACGTCTTGGTGGAATCTACGTTGTCCACCACACCCGCAACCACTTCACTGCTCGCGCAAACATCCCTCCCACCCACGCGCAACTTGGTTTGCAAACCTCCTGCGGCGTCGATTGCGATGAGCACTTGGCGCTGGCTGGTGCATCTCTGCGGCTGCGCGAACCCGCGCATGCTCGCGCGCGCAGCGGCCAGGTAGTTTGGTGCGACCGACGAGGCCGCGGTGGTGCTGACCGCTCGGTACACCCCAGCGGACACTTGAGTGCGACTCGGCGGTTTGGTTGGGCGCGGTATCATGGCAACGTCGAGACACGCTGACGATGATAATGACGATGTTGGTCACGACTATTGCAGACACGATGATGGTAGTGGCGATGATGGCACCGACGCCGATCAAGCCAACGACGATGACGGCGTCTTCGCGTCGGTGATGAAGGTTTCGGAACGAATTCAAAATGCGCGCGGCAGACGCGCGAGAGCGGCTCGCACTGTATTATCGGACACGGATCGTGCCACCCCAGCACGCGCGCAAGGGCATTCGAGCGACTTTTACATGCGCGCGCGAAGCCGATTTGGTAGCATGTCATTGAACATGTCCAAGACCCATGTTTTTACAATGAAAAACTTGAGCAAACACACATATAACGAACATCGCGAGAGCGCTCGCGCACGCTTTTGTTGAAAATCCGTGTTGCGAGACCATGTGTTTTTTATATGCCGTTTGGACACTCGATTCTGAAAACCTTCAGGGTTTCTTGAACACTTCTGGGTTTTGATAAACGAGTGCGCGCGCATAGCATTTGTTGCGGAGGATGGCGGGGGGGGGGGGGGGCGATACCGGCTGGGCTGGGATATTATGAATTCACACATAGGGTGGACATTGGGTCAAAATCCCATGTGTTTTACACCGGTTCCGGGAGGGGATATGTGCGGGGGGGGAAGGGTGGTAGAACCTTTTTTTTAGCAAGGAGAATCGGCGACGGGGCAGCGCTGGAGACACTACTGCTGCCAGGCGGGCGGTCAGGCCCAGACGATGGGCGCCGGCGGGGCGGCGACGGCGACAACATGGTCGCAAGCACGGCCCGCAGGCTTGCAGGATGGGCGGCGACGAGGTTCAAGCAGTGGCGAGGCGCCCTGGCTCCCTATAGCCCTACCAAGCAATGTTTTTTTTAAGAACTGTTCGTGGTTTCCACGAAATATTCTTAGAACATGTCTGGCGGAATCTGTCTTGTCTTATCGCGGGTTCACGTTCTAAGAACATCGTTTTTGTTATTGGAACAGCTCCTGGGTTCTAACAACATTACGTGGTAGGACTATAGGAGTGCCGGGACGGTTGGTCCACGCTCAAAAGTTGGCGATGGGGCGGTGACGGCGACGAAGTGGCCTTCAGCCCGGCCCGCAGGCCCAGTTCTTTAGAGATGAAGTAAAAACCTCCAAGCGCAAGCACTGTTTGGGGGCTTTTATTTTGCCTTCAAGGACAGAAGGACGGCTTTCCTGAGGCTTGAACGTGGTACGGAGATTTCGTTCGGGGTAGGGTCGTCGGTCGGCCTGAGCGTTTGGGAAGGGGAGGGAGACAGAGGACGCAGGGATAGAGGCGCGAACGATACCCTCGACTCGTGTCGGGGAAGCAAACCCCGCTGGCACCCATGAGGCTTAAATTTCTTGGACCGCCACGGGCTCCAACCAATTGACTAATGGAATGGTCTCTGCAAAATGAAGAATGTCTACGACAACATGTAGAACTGCAGCACGACGAGCCAAGGCATATGGGGAATGATTGGAGGCTGAATTAAGTCGGTGGGAAACCTTTAGTGATTGCTTGCCTGTTGATGGCCTCTTCCTTTCCTGGAGCTCTCATGTGTCATGCGTATCGTGCCGCAGGTAGCGCGTGTGGAAGGCCATGGTGCCTTCTCAGCCCAGAGGGAGCAGTCAAGTGTGTGCCCTTGCAGCTGGTTGCTGCAATGCGATCGAGGAACAACCGATGCATGCTGTAACGCGCACTCCTGCAGGGGACACTGAAACGTGTTGCAGTGAGCACGAGAAGAGTTACCGCGTTCACCAGGCGGTTGCCGCCAACGCCGCGCTGCAACCATCTATTGAAGGAGGGGCAAGTGACGGGAGGGGACGCAAGGAGGAGGAGGAGGCGGATGAGGAGGAGGAGGAGGAGGAAGAGGAGGAGGGGGTGATTGAGGCATGAGCGAAGGGAACGGGGGAGGGGCGGGGCAGGGAGGTGGAGCAGGGGGGGGAGGAGGGGGAGAGGGAGCGGACGAGAACGAGGCAGAGAGGGAGGGGCAGAATGAGCAGGAGGAGGTCGGAGCGGGAGGAACAGGAAGCGGGAGCAGCAGGAGGGGGAATGGGGCAGAGAGGTTGAGGCAGGAGCAGGTGCAGGAGTGCAAAGGCGGACACGGCCAGGCATCCGGCCCCCCTCGCACGCACGGAGCACGGAGCGGGAGGAGGAGCAGGAGGACGAGCAGGCCGGAGGAGCCCCTTGCCGCAGGCAAACAAGCTGATGATGGACGGGGTCGACGGCATCTACACTGGCGAGTTGACCAGCGGTAGCTGGGGATGGGCAGCCACGTCAGGGGCAACGTCACAGGCGAGACTGCTTAGTAGGTCGACCCTGCCAAATCGAGGGGACCCTTGTGTCCTGAGTTTCGCGACCCATACCTTCTGACATTCCTATGGCAATTTTGGCCCTCAGAGGAATACCGTGTCCCCTCCAATTGGGCCCGACTGTGGTCAGCCACGCGCAGAGGGGGGGCAGGGGGAGGGGGAGGGCTTCCTAGAAGCACCCCTGCTTCTCAGAAGGCGCGGGCCTCGGCTGCAGACGTAGGGACGGCGCCTTCTGCGAGGCAGCCTCCCTCTAAGAAGCCTCCCCCCTCCTGCCCCCCCGGTGCGCGCCGCCAAGATGTACAGCCACGTCAGGGGCAGGAGGAGGAGGAGGAGGAGGAGGAGGAGGAGGAGGAGGATTGGCTCCGGGGTGTGATTCCATCGACCCCCACGCGCCCCTTCGGCGCCGACAGAGGGGGCACAGCAGCCCACCCCGCCCGGGAGCGTGCGGATTTCTGCTGCCGGGGGCCCATCACTGAGCTGTGGGCGAGGCACCGCCGCTGCCAGGTCGATGGTTGCCCCCCCCCCCCCGACCCAGTCCTCCCCTCACGTTCCCCTTCGAGGGGAGGAGTGGGAGGAAGGAGAATGGAGGAGGGAGGAAGGAGGGGGGGAAGGGAGCACGCATGAGGAGGAGGAGGAGGAGGCTGAGGAGGAGGAGGAGGAGGAGGAGGCGGAGGCGGAGGAGGAGCAGGAAGGGAGGACGGAAGGCGAGGGAGGAGGTTGGCCCCCTGCCTCCCACGTCCGTGGTGTTCCATTGGAGCGCTTCCGGTAGGACCGCGCCACCAATGGCGGTCGCGGGTGGGTCGCGTCTCGTTGCGCGCGAGCCCGCGATGCAGGCGCAGGAGAGGAGGGAGCCAGCTCCAGAGCTTTGGAGACACCTGGAAGGAGGGAGGACGAGAGTTTGCGGCTGAGCCGGAAGGGGCGGGAGCGATCGGGGGAGACCATCCGTTTTGCTCCTCTGGCTTCTCCTTCCCCTTCCTCCTCTGCTGGCTGTCCTCTTGTTCGACGCGGCCTTGGCCAGGGCTAGGCCCCGCAGCGCGCGTGTCGCCCCTCGACGGCGCGAGGGGAGTGGATCCATCGGCGACGCGTCGCCGTCTCCAGGTCGAGGGTGGCCCCCCTGAGCCAGGCGCCCCATCCGGCGCGTTCCTGGAAGGGCCTCGCCGTCGAGGACAGGAGGAGTTGTCGTCTCTTCCTCGGCGGAAGGCGGCGGAAGTAGAGCGAGGCCGCCTCCACCTGCGGAAGGGCGGCGGAAGTAACACACATGCACCACCAAGAGGTGGTAGCATGTTTGGGGAGGTGCCGAAGTTCCGGGGGTCCGCCAGGTCGAGCCCCCAGCAGGGGCGAGCAAGAAGGAACAGCACAGCCAGGAGGTTCTGGAGGTCTCCGTGGCCCTCTCCTCCTTTTCCTCCTCCTCCTTCTCCTCCTCCTCCTCTCCCCTTCCTTCCGCACGTCCGCCCTCCGAAGCGGGACTTCATACATGACCACCGCCTGGAGGATCAATTCTCGTGGACCTCAGCAGGCGGTCGATATTGGTATATTCGGGTCCCGGGGGGGCCAAAATATGTCCATATCCACCGCCCGCTGGGGCACCAGGACGTCGGTTCCCAGGCGGTGGATATGGATAAATCCCCGCCGCGCACACCCCCTAGCGCGCACCGCGCACGGGACCTCGGGTCACGATGCGCCACCAGCCCACCCCCTTCCCCTTCTTGCCCAGGTTTATTTCAACCGTTCACACAAAAAGCGTCGGAGGGCAGCATGGATATTCAAGGGGAGAAAGACCATCCCCCACAGAGGGCGGTTGCTGACATGTTCCTGGGCACTTGCCCGACCCGTTTTGCCAGAAGGGCTTCGCTTGCATGTTAGGGATCTTTATCCTATGAGGGTGGCCTCTGAGAGAAGGGACGGAGTAGGAGGAGTGGGAGGAGGGGGAGCAGGAGGAAGAGGAGGAGGAGACGGATGGGAGGGAGGAGAAGGAGGAGGAAGAGGAGGGGGAGCAGAAAGAGGAGGAGGATGAGGAGGAGTGGGATGATGATGATGCTGATGATGATGATGATGATGGTGATGGTGGTGGTGATGGTGGTGATGATGATGATGATGCTGAGGATGATGATGATGATGATGATGATGATGATGATGATGATGATGATGATGATGATGATGACGATGACGATGACGATGACGATGATGATGATGCTGCTGATGATGATGATGATGGTGATGGTGATGGTGATGATGAGATGATGATGATGATGCTGATGCTGATGCTGATGATGACGATGATGATGATGCTGATGCTGATGCTGATGATGATGACGACGACGATGATGATGATACTGATGAAGTTGCTGCTGATGATTATGATGATGATTGTGGTGGTGGTGATGGTGGTGATGATGATGAGGATGAGGATGTTGATGAGGAGGATGCTGATGCTGCTTATGATGATGATGGTGATGGTCATGATGATGCTGATGGTGATGATGATGGTGATGGTGGTGGTGATGATGATGATGATCATAATGATGATGATGCTGCTGCTGATGATGATGATGGTGATGATGATGATGGTGATGAGGATGATGATGATGATGCTGTTGATGATGATGATGATGATGCTGATGATGATGATGATGATGATGATGATGATGATGATGATGATGATGGTTGTGGTGGTGGTGGTGGTGGTGGTGGTTGTGGTGTTGGTGGTGGTTGTGGTGGTGGTGATGATGATGATGATGAGGAGGAGGAGGAGGAGGAGGAGGAGGAGGAGGAGGAGGAGAGGCCCTCGCCCGCCGTGGGAGGCCAGGAGGAGACGGGGGCCGACGGCGGCGGCGTGCGCCCCCCGCAGGCAAGAGCGTCCGGGGGCCCAGCGGCGCGGGCGCGCGGCGTTTCCCCTGGTCCCCTCCCCCTCCTCCTCCTCCTGCTCCTCCGCCTGGCAGGAAGGCTTCTCCTCGTCCTGGTCCTCCTCCTCGTCCTCCGCCTCCTCCTCCTCCTCCTCCGCGTTCGCCTGCGCCTCCTCCGCCGCCTCCTCCTCCTCCTCCGTCCTTTCTCTTCCTCCCTCCTCTCGACAGGAGCACGACAACTGCTGAAAATTCCTCCTCCTCCTCCTCCTGCTCTCCCCCAACCTCCTCCTCCTCCTCCTCCTCCTCCTTCTCCCCTCCGCTCCGCCCCGTTCTCCCGTCCCTGCGCCTCCTGCCCCCTGCGCGGGGCACAGACGGGCTTTCCATCCCCATCCTGGTCGACAGCGAAATCCGAGCCCTACTGCTGCTTCCCACTTCTGCCTCCCCCCCTCTCCTTTGCTTCCCCCTCGCCCTTTTGCTTCCCCCTCGCCTTCCTGGTTCCCCCATAGTCATTCTGCCTCCCCCTCGCCATTCTGCCTTCCCCTCGCCCCTCTGCCTCCCCCCTCGCCCTTCCGCCTCCCCCCCTCGCCCTTCTGTTTTCCCTTGCAGTCGCCTGCCACCTGCTGTTTTTCTTCCGGCGGCGAGATCCGAACCCTACCCTCGCCGATCAACGATTCAGGCACATCGATGGTCGGGAGCGGATAGGGTTCGGAATTCGTTGAGCACGTGGCAAAATCCGAACCCTGTCCCCGCCTCCCGCAGATTCAAGGGAACCGATGGTCTGTGGGGATAGGGTTCGGATGTCGCCACGTATTCGAGGTGTTCTTGCGTGTTCGTCGGTTCTCGGCGATTTTCCAGCCTCGGGTTGCTCTCCAGGAGCCGCTCCTCGCCGAGAGCGTCCTGGGGATGCCTGGATCGCCCCGAATGGCCGCCCGAGACCCGAATTGTGATCCGAAAACCGAGGGCAACCAAGCACAGGGGGGATTGGCTCAGGGGGGAACGTGCCGACCCCCAATCGCTTGGCATCTCTCGGACGTGTGCGTTTGTTCCTTCGGCGAGGACCATCGAGGAGCATCCTTGATCATTTGGTGAAACACCCACGCACGAGACCGAACAAAAACACAGGAAATGGACGTCCGAGCGATGGCCAGATCGCTGATATGGGCCCGATAGCACACACCGCGCAAAACAGTGCGGAATCGCTATCGGGGGCCTACGCCGATCTATCGGCGATGTATCGCCGGTTTCGGGTCGATTTTTCCCCATTTAGCCGTTCCCCCCGTAGTGTTCCCCGTCAGGTCGATGGTTCGGATCTGTCATAGGCCCTGTTTCCATAGGAGCAGAAACGACGAAAGGCCAAACAAATGATCACATTCATGTATGAAGCCACGTCGACCGTCACGCGTCTCCAACCTGTTAGCGTTCAGCCCCCCCCAGCGGTTGCGCGCGGTCTCTCAAGGGGGTGGACAAGGATCAAGAATCCAACTTTCGTGAGCAACAGCTGGGGACGGGGTGATGGAGACGCGAGAGACGTGACAGGTAAGGAAGATGGATCCGGCCGCGGAGAACCCCAAACATGTTGAAACACCAGACTAAGATTCTGAATCCGCCCATGCAGAACACCAAAAAGAACAGACGATAAATGCAAACGCAGCTTGACCACGAGAAAACGGCCGACGACAAAAAAAGAAGGCCGACGACAACAAAAGGGCCGACGCTAAATTCAAAAAACAATCGTCGCAGGTTCCGCGCGCCCGGAAGGCTCGCGTCCGCGATGGGACCCCGCGCTCATTGATGTCTTCGCGCGCGCGTGGCGCTCGGCGGGATGGGCGCGCGCTATTGCAGGCTTGGAAATGGCGCACCAACACCAACACCAAAACATGATCCTAGATTTCGGCGTTTGTGGTAATATTCCGGCCACCTTGAAAGCCAGAATATTACCATCTCCGAGATCGGGATCTTCTCCCTGCGGTGGAGGCACACCGCCGAAATTGGCGTTGGTGTCAACCTCTAGGCCTGCGACGCTGGAGATGCGCGCACGCGCGCGCCGATGCCATCGCGCGCGCGTCTCCGCTGCGGGCGCAGCGCGGAGCGTGCGTGCGCGCGCGGGGCAGGC